TTTTATCTTTTGATTTAGATATTAGCAACACTTATTAGAGCACATGCAAATGATTTGATGCATCTTTTTGAGGACGTGCATGCTATTTATGGTGCTTAGATGACTTTGGAGTCATTATATTTGAGTTGAAGATTGCCTCACGAAGCACATGCAATACTTTAAATTATTCGATTTTGATTGTTTGCACGAATATTGTCATTGAGATATGAACAAAATATTATATTTTGTTCGCTTGCAAGTCTATGTTGTAGACCTATTTATGGATGTCACGAACTATTATCTATCATACGTTATAAGCTATCCTAATTTTTTGTCCTTGCATGATTGTATTTAGCGTGGTGGGCCCCACAATGCATAATTTCTTTTCCAATAACTAGGATGGGTCTTAGCAGATATCACCATTCAAAATCATTTGGTCCATAGTTCTTTGGATTCTTAGTGTTAGATTAAGAAAGTTTTCCTCTAGCTCGCAAGTGAGTTCGCTAAGTCCTCTGTAAGTTTTGTGTTTAGTTCATTGTTCAATATTTTTGGTGCGGGCAAACTAGACAAAAGAGCCAATATTGGAGAACACTAGGACTAGTAGAACATAACTCGATTCAATTTAGAAAAAACTGACATCCGCACAAAACACCAAGACAAACTAAAGCCGAACAAACAAAATAAGATTTAAAAATAAAAACACTATCCTCAGAACAACCGGCAAGCGGTTTCCTCACATGCAACAAAAATTAGGTAAAATATGATAAGTTCTTAGGGCTTGCAAATCAAGGGTCCACCACAGCAATAAGGTCCAACGTCCAATCAAACTCCTCCAGCAAATGTCATCAAATTCTGCCAACAAACGCCTCCAATAGCTCAAGAAGAAGGATACAAGTGGAGTGGAACTTGCGTAGAGAAGAAGAAATTAGAAGCCAAGACGAAATAGAGAGGAGGAAGAGAGAATTGGAACAAGCTCTTAAGCTTTTCCAAGAAATGAGAAGAAACCCTCAGGTTTTAAGAGACTTTTCTCAAGCTAATCAACAACCTCCTCATGACAAATACATATCTAATTTATAAGAAAAAATGGGGAGCCAAACAACCAATTTCTACCTCAAACCGAACCAATCAGGTAAGGGGAAGAGGAAGGCCAGCAAGCAAAATAGAACAACACCCGAAAAAGGCAGCACAAGAACCGAGTAAAGCAGCCATGGGAAAACAACCAGGGAAGAAACCGAAAAGGCAGCACAGGGGATCGAAACCAGCACCCAACAAAGGGAGGAGAACCAGCCACGTGAAACAACACCTGGAAGAAACCGAGGGGGCACAAAGAAGGGGAAGAGACGAGATCCAACTCAACATAATGAACTAAAAGGAAGAGTACCTTTTTAAATTAATGAGCTAAATAGAGCAATCACTCCTCCAAATAATGAGCTAAACATTAGCTCAAGCAATAATGAGCTATAACCAAGTAGCTCCCAAAATTTCAGCGCAAAACCAAAGCAGCCAAGGCCCAACCCGAGAGGCAACAAGCAGCCCAAAGACTAAAAGAACCCAAGAAGCTAGCACACCCAAGGCTTGCCATGCCCAAGCACTACCTACTCATGATCATTGGATGTTCTCCATCATTGGATAGCATAAAAAACTTAAAAAAACAACAATAACATTTAAATTACAATAAAACGAAAATAAACTAAAATATGCATGCATCAATTTTGTTCTTTTTTATTCAACTTGCATGACATTTTAGTTGTTCATTATCTTCCCATTTTCATAAATTCACACTTGTTATTTTCATCTTAGTTGCATTTCTCTAAAAGGGGTTCTTTCAATTGTTCCTTGTTAGTTCTTTCACTGTTAATTTTATTAGCCTCCTTGTGTCTCCTGTGCATAAGGAGCATCTATGACGAGTAATAGGTCTTTTCCCATCACGCTTAAAATAGCATTCATGTTCTAGGTCTAGACACCATACTCACATTGCTTAACAAAAGCATACAGGCCTTCAATATCTACGCAAAAATACACAAGGATTTCTCTGATACGTTGGAACATGTACGGGTATTTTTTTTGCATTTCTCACTATGGTGAAACATCACTCATAGGTACTTAAATTTGGGTATGCATAGGCCTTTGTTACTTGCACAAAAAATATACAATATTTCTTGGAACAATGTACATGCTTATTTTAATTTTTTTTCCCGTTGTATTGGAATATTGTGCATGTGTACTTAAAATTTTTTTACGGCTTTTCTGCGAGGTGACTTTATTGGTGATGAGATTTGTAGCAATGATGTCCATACAAATTATCTTTTTTTTGAATCTTTTGTTTAAACACACACACACATATGAGATGTGTGGGATCTGAAGTCTGACTCTTCTAAGAGAGTTTGTGTTATATCTCAACTTTTAGTGGATAGATTACATTGAAGATAAGACAATAACTAGATATTTCACCCTCATTTTGTGAGGACTTTATGATATGGTTTGAAATTCTTTGTTGGTGCAAGCTCCTTTGGTTAATTATCTCTTCTGATGTTGGGAGAAAACTTTGTATTAAGGCTAATTAATAGCCGTTAAATATTTAGCTTATAGTTGCATTGATTTTTGTTTTAAGATTGAAGGAAATTTACCATATTTTGATTAAAGTGGATGGTGGGGGATGATGACAAATCCAATTAAAATCCCGTGGTTATGTCATTTGGGGTTCTCATGGACTATGGTCTACTTAGTTGGAAGAGATAGTTGACCCAACCTAATCGATTGATCTATGACGACAATCATGAGTTTCGTTGTCAAGGGGAACCTTCTAGACCGAGGATGAATATTTATCTAAAGAGACAATATAAGTAATCCTTAGTTGATACAGGGTTTGTGTCCCATCAAGTGTACATTATGATTCATAATTAAAGCGACAAGATCCCTTGGGGAACATTCGGACTCTGTTTGTGACTGTAATTTAATGGTACTATTTTGCTACAAAATTTCTCAGCCAACAGGTCCTAATCATAACCGTTATGTAGTGGTGCCATTTGGAGGTAAAATCATCTTGTCCTATGAGACGCTCCATGTCTTTATTGGTGTGGGATCTTTTGAGAGTGAATATAGTAATGTACTTGATATGACATTGACTTTTTGTGAGCTGAGGATGAGCTTAGATTTGTTGCTCTCAAGTCTCAACACACTTTTGTGGAGGGATATGGAGTCGTCATGAAAGTTCTTAAGAACTGGTTCAAAGTCTATTCTTGGTTATGCTATGCAACGCCTTTAAGGGGTTTTGATACTCTTACTTTATAGGTTACTTGCATGCTCCTTATTCAGAGGTTGGTATCATACTCTAGTGTTCATTGGCCGATCATAAGTCTTGCTAAATGAGGTCTCCATCTCTCCAAGAGATGCCTATGTGGATTCTGTCATCAAATCTCAACTTATCCACTACATGTGCCAATGCTGGCATTCATATTTTTTTTTTCTTCTCCTTTTTTTCCTTTTTTTTTTTTTTGAAGATGCGAACAGGAAAGAAAAATTATTATCCTTATTGATTTATCTGAGTTGGATTCAATTTAAGATTAAGGTGAACTTCATGCGTGCTTGAAATCTGCTGACACCAGCTGTGATCCTAGCTAACTTGGCCTGAGATGGGCATGGGTTAGTCTAGCTTTTACTGGATGTGGGTTAATATGTTTTTCGCTTGACTTTACCTCATAAAGTTCTTTTCCGTTTCCCTATTTTCCCTCCTTTCAGCATTGTTTTTAAGCGAAGGAATGGATTGAAACGGGTATCCTAATGTTGATATTGACATTGAAATCAGTTTTGGAAAAGTTGGAGAAGGAAAAGAAGATGATGTGGCTGCAAAGTTATGAATACCATTCTGACCTTGATTATGGTGATCGTTGATGTGGAGTGGACATTGAGGATTAATCTTGTGGGTACTATAGTGGTATTAATAATATTCAAAGCTACACCGTATGCACATTGGATAGCTTATAATTGGCGTAGGCGTAAAATGCGACGGTCAAGGACCAGAAGATTGTAGTATGATTGAGCGTCCGTACAAAAGCGAATAATTTTGACAATGGAATTGGATAGAGGCATAGATACTGGCGTTCCAACATTGAATCTTATTAAAGACATTGGAGATGGTTCGTAGATCAGGCTATGGTGGTATTTCTGCTGTTTTTGAACTCCAACTTTGTTGCTAGTGGAGATTGAGGATGATGTTACAACAACTCTCAAAGGATCAGATAATGAAAAATAAAGCTAGGTGGCAATTTCTTTTTCTTTTCTGCTCCATTCTCTACATTTTTGGATTTTTATTCTCCTTTTCTTGCTTGACGTTTTGTATAAAAGTGAAGATTTAAGGATTACCAAGATGGTTGGAAGTGATGTTGTGGTTCATTCTATCGAGGTTTATTGGGTTCTAGATTATTGGAGTATTTAAAGTTTATTCCCAATTAATGACAACAGTGAGGAACTTATTGGGATTAACAACAACATTGAGGCAGTTGAGGTCACTGATTATTCACTTCGTAGTGATTAAACCTTAATTACACTATATGAGGGAGGAATAATTTTAAGTTGCTTTATTCTGAAAGCATTTGGTCGTCTTACTATTTAAAAGGCATGTTTGAATTTGCTATAAAGAAAGAGACAAGTGAACAAAGAATATTTACACTATCCCTTATAGGAAATGAAAGAATCTAATTAGGAAAAAATTAGCATGATTATAATTCACATATCCCATGTAAATTTTTTGTTCTTATATGTGTATGTAAATTCATTTATGTTTATGACATATTCTGTTGGTTCAAACTTATTAGGGTTCTATGTGTTCGCAATTCATTTTTGAGTCTGTTTATAGTATATGCAGTATTCAATAGTTGCTTTCAATAGCTCTTAGGTAATGAAATCTAAATTGATATGGGTATTTCAAATTAGACGATTGATGAGAAAATTATCTCATTTGGTGAAGGCCAAGATGCATATAACTTCTGCTTAAACACGCTAACAGATGTACATCTTGGCAGGTTCCTTCTCGAATTGAGAAGCTTATTGCAGAAAAGCAACTATATGCTGCTGTTCAATTGCATGTTCGGTCATCATTGATGCTTGAGAGGGAAGGTCTTCAAGTGGTTGGTATTATTAGTCATGACTTAGGATCTTGTTTATTAATGCTCAAATTTGTTTGAGGTCCTTTTTAATTGCTTTCTGCTGGTTTACTTTTTTAAAATTAGACAACACATATTTTATATACACGAGAAGCTTGTGGTGGAATGCAGTATACTGCAGTTGCAATTGCTTGATTTCATGACCATGACCCGCACATTTGAGATGTACTTTGTCAATCTCTTTGTGAGTGCTAATTACTTCATTTAATATAAAGGAGCACACGAACAACAGAACATTAAGAAATAAATCCCAAGTCCTAAAAATCAGTTTTGATGCCTTTATAAAATTTAAAAATATTATTCAAGATACAATGTCCAATTTTCATAAGAGTTCTAAATTATGGATGAATTGTTGTGTTGCTATGATCCAATGGTTAAATGATTTAGTTGGTATTCAAAACTCTTTTGTCAACATAGTGAAATGCTGTTCCTGCATTGCTATATAAACTTAATGATACTTTAACAATTAACAGAGTTTTCTTGGTATAATAAACATTGTTTTAAACAAATGGCTTCTTACAGTTAGCTCACTTAAGCTTTGTTTGGAACAACTTCTTAATTTCTTGTTGTGGTAGAAAAAATAGCCAATATTAATTAATGTATATTTATACGAAAAAAACTGTAGAACAACTTTCCTTGTTTTTCACAAAATTTCTTTAATAAAAATATTTTTGGGTGAGAAAAGTGGAGGGTTGTGTTAGGTAGTTGACAACCAGCGTAAAACTTGTCGAATAATCATGACATGAATCCTTTAAAAAATTGTATTGATGCTAGGGCGCCCCCTAGAAGCGATGCGCTGTAGGACCTGAATACAACGACAAGTGTGCAAGGGCCGCTGCATCGACGCCCGGGTGCATTATTAAATAGGCAAGGGTTCCAGCATCAAGGACGGATGTGGGCAATGAAGCTAGTCTATGAAATTAAAATTAGGATAAAAACTTGGAATATAGGTTCCCTTACAGGAAATTTAATGAAATTAATAGATATTATGATTCATAGGAAGATAAATATTATGTGTATTTAGGAAACTAATGGGTTGGGGAGAAGGCTAAAGAGATTGATAGTTTAGGATTTAAACTATGGTATTCGGGTAGGAGTCGTACAAGAAATGATGTATTTGTGATTATAGATAAGAGTTTGAAGGATAATGTTATAAAAATTAACAGAATTGGAGATAGAATTATAACTTTAAAGATTATTGTTGATGCTCATATTATTAATATTATAAGTGCTTATGCTCCTCAAGAAGGTTTGGATATGATTTCAAAATTAAAATTTTGGAATGACTTAAGAAAAATTTATACAAAAGATACCTTTTGAAGAAAGAGATTCAATTGAAGGAGATTTAAATGGATATGTTGGTAGAGAGATAGATGATTTTAAAGTATTCATTGGTGGCCATAGATTTGGAACGACAAATGAAGGTAGTAAGACCATATTAGATTTTTCTTTAGCTTATGAATAATTAATATTTTATTTAAGAAAAGAGATGAACATCTTTTCACTTATTAAAATAGATATAGTAAAATGCAGATTGATTATTTTCTCATAATAAAATTAGATAGTTTAGATTGTAAAGTTATTCCGAGTGAAAATTGATATACCCAGCATCGATTATTAGTTTTGGACTTTAAGATAAAGGGTCAGAAAATAATAAAATAAATAAATCGATATTATAAGATTAGATGTGGGCATTTAAATAATATTAACAAAAAATTTTTTGAGAGTAAGATTTTAGATCTTAAGATTTTGTCTGTGCATGAGGATGTTAATATTATGTGGGGAAAAGTGGTTAGTGATATTAAAAATATTACAAAATATGTGCTTGGAGTTTCAAAGGGAAAAGATCCTAATAGTAAAAATAGTTGGCGGTGGAATCCAATTGTGTAAGAAATGATTAAAAAAAATTGTTATAAAAATTAGTTATTTTGATAATTGGGAAAACTATAAAGAGACTCGTAAGGAATCTAAGAAAGCTATTTACGATGCAAAGATCTTAGCTTTTAATGATTTATATAATAGATTAGATTCTAAGGAGGGAGAAATATACATGTATAAGTTAGCTAAACCAAGAGATATGAGTAGTAAGGATTTAGTTCTTGTGAAGTGGGTTAAAGATGAAGATTAAAAAGTATTTTTCTTAAAAGATAATATTCAACAAAGGTGGATGAGATATTTTGCTAAATTTTTTAATGAAGAATGTAAAAATACGATTGACTTTAGTGATCTTAATACCCTAAATAAAAATAAATATTTTTATTTTTATCGGTGTATTAGTAGAATCGAAGTTAGAGAGGCTTTAAAGAAAATAAAGTGTTGAAAAGCTATTGGACCTGATGATATTCCAATAGAGGTGTGGAAATGCTTAGGAGATGAAGGAATTTCTTGGCTTACTAAACTTTTTAACATTGTTTTGATACTTAAAAGATGCCAGAATCCAGATGAGTGGAGAATGAGTGTGTTAATTCTCATTTTTAAGAATAAAGGTGATGCACATGATTGTGCAAATTATAGAGGAATTAAGTTAATGTGTCATACTTTAAAATTATGGGAGTGAGTTATGGAGCGTATGTTGCGGCTTGATACTAATGTTTCTCAAAATAAAGTTGGATTTATGCCGGGTAGGTCTTCTATGGAAGCCATACATTTATTGAGAGGTTTGATGGAGAAATATAGAGAGAATAAAGAGGATCTACATATGATATTTATGAGAAAACATATGATAAAGTTTCAAAAGAATTGCTATGGAGAGTTCTTGAAAAGAAAGGAGTTAATAACGCTTATATTCAAATCATTAAAGATATGTTTGCAAGAGCTGTTACTTGTGTTTAAACACAAGGTGGTTTAACCAAGTATTTTCCTATTTCAGTTGGATTACATCAAAGATCAGCCTTAAGCCCATATCTTTTTTGCTTTAGTTATGGATATTCTCACTAGACATTTGCAAGATGATGTACCATGGTGTATGCTTTTTCCTGATGATATTCTTCTTGTTGATAAGACTAGAGAGGGAGTTGAAGGTAAACTTGAATTATGAGGTCAACCTTAGAGTCTAAAGGTTTTCACTTGATTAGATCTAAAACTGAATATATGGAGTGTAATTTTAGTAGCAATAGACCTAGTGAAGGGATTGTGACTTTGGGCGATCAAGTTATTATACATGTTTTAGATATCTTGGATCTATTCAGAGTGATAGTGAAATAGATCGGGATATTATTAGCAAAATTCAAGTTTGATGGTTGAAGTGGAGGAATGCATTGGGCTTGTTGTGTGATAGGAAAGTCCCTCTCTAACTTAAAGAAAAATTCTATAAGATGGTAGTGAGACCTGCAAGCTTTATGGTGCCGGATGTTGGCCATTAAAAGAGAAGCATAAAACTAATTTAAGTGTTGTAGAGATGAGGATGCTCAGGTGGATGAGTGGCTTTACCCTTAGAGATATGATACAAAAGGAGCATATATGTGAAAAGGTTGTAGTAGCTCCAGTCGAAGATAATATTAGAGAGAGTCACCTTAGATGGTTTGGTCACATTAAACGAGGACCTTCAGATGATCCGGTTAGGAAATTTGAGGTATTAGATTTGACTTATGTTAAGAAAGGTAGAGGTAGACCTAAAAATAATTAGTTAGAAAATATTAGAATGATCTTTCTTTATTAGATTTAAAGGAGAATTTGACTTTTAACATGACACAATGACAAAAAAGGATTCATGTAGCCGACCCCACGTAGTAGGACAAAGACTTGATGTTGTTGTTATAAAAATATTTTTGGGAAGATATAATAGAAATTATGATTGAGAAAGTAGCCTTGAAAAAATTCTTACAGAAAAATGTAAACTGTGTTGATTGAAGCCTTAGCATGAACACATTCTACATTTTTTATTTTCTTTGATACTTTTGATTTTTATTATTTGTCAAATAATGTCTAATCTCTAGATTTTTAATGACTTGCTACGGAAAGCATTTAACTTGTCGGATGTTATAAACTAAAATTTGAACGGTCAGAGGCATTATTTTTTCCAAAGGTTAGGGCTGTAGAGTATTATATTTAAAATATGTATTTGTAAACTTCTGCAGCATCTTGTTATAAGATATGATTTCTCCAAATCTGTGATGTTAGTGCGATGGAGGCAGCATCTCTTCTGAAGCATCTTGTTATAAGATATGATTTCTATGCGTTCCTCTTTGTCTATTTCCAAAATAGCATCAAGATGTGCATTGCCCCAATGGTGGAATGCTGTATCACTTCTTTTTTTGCTTGCTACTGAAATGTTGAAAGGCAGTTTTTATATGTTCAAAATTGTGTTTTCTATTAGATAATATCTTGTCAACAGCAAGTCAATCTTTGAAATTAGTGGTTGTTGACTAATGCCCAGAGCACATTCATCTAAACATATCTGTACCTGATTTTGATTTTAAATTAATTTTTTATTTAAAAACTTGTCATGGATCCTCATATATTTGTGTTGCCTGTCTTGGACTTAGTAATGTAGACGACACTCATGTGAAGATAACTTACTCGACACTCATATGATGATAACTTCTTAGGTTGGTGCTCTTCAAGATGTTCGATCAGAATTAATCAAGTTACGTGGGGTGCTTTTCTATAAAGTTCTGGAAGATCTAAACAGTCATCTTTACAACAAGGGTGAATACAGGTACTTGAGTTTAATGGTCTTCTAACATATATATATTAACTTAATGTTACCTTGTTATGGTTTCCATTTAAATTTTGCAACATCAGTTTGTACATGGTTTTCAGCATAAGTTATCTGAGTTTAATGATCTTTTAACATTCATATATCAACTTAGCATTACCTTGTTATGATTTCCATTTAAAGTGCAACGTGCATTTGTACTATCTTTTTTTATGCTTTCTTCATAGGGTAATATGGGTTTTTAACATCAGTTTGTGCATTTTTTGAATACCTTTACCCACCTTTTCATGTTTTGCTCATATTTTGAATGATTTAAATTGTAATGCTGAGAGCATTATTTGAGTTCAAGATCATTCAATTGACCTTTGGTTAGAAGCTCCTGAATTTAAATTGACTGTCATTTTTCTAAAACTGTTTGTTCTCTGCAGCTCAGCTAGCTTAAACATGCCAGAGAAGGATGATGAAGTGCCAACTACAACAGCTGTCTCATTCTCAGTAAGCAGTTCACATCCAATTTCAAAGAGAACCAGATCAATAAAGGCTGATAATCACTTAAGTGGCTCCGCATTTGGTGATGGATCTTTTAGAACCATTTCTATTGATGGAGGGTAGGCTTTGAAACATGATGGTCCAAATACTTAAGAGATGGATGCACTTTTTTAGTATGTTATTTTATACCTTGACTTAGATGCACTTGTTCTCCATGTACCTAAGTCAAGAATTAGTTTTCATTAGATTTTATATAATAGCCTTTTTATATAATCTAAAATAACTTTGATCCTGTTTTTTACGTTGTTTTTAGGAATGCCTTAAATTGAAGCATTACCCTTCAACACTATCTTCATAATTATCTTAGAACAATGTGTTTGGTTAATGCAACGTGTAGTTAGTAGTTCACCTGGCATCAAACCGGATCATTCCTTAACATACATATATACTAAGAATGGTGGAATATATTTATTTAGCATGGATTCATATCAGGTTGAATTTCATGATCATGATTGTCATCATTGATCTTATCCAAACTACTTGGTAATTCTTTTTTCATTCACTTTAGTGATGTGGTGCATGTTTTTATTCATAAGGAAAATTTGTATTCGCAACTTTATCCACGCTATTGTTGGTCCATCCTTTTTTCTTCCTATGAACTTTGAAGTGCTTGTATTTAACAACCTAGTGTGGCATTTTTGCTTTACTTTTACATTTCCAAACTAACTAAGCTATTTTCTACTATCTTGTCCTAAATAGATGCTATTTTCACATGTAGCGTCGTTATCGTTACCTTAAAGCCTTAGCATATGCCTTGAGTACCTTCTTCATTTGCATTACCCAACATTAATTCCATAGCATTTTCTATATCTCTATTATTCTGTACATTAGAGTTAATATATCTAAACCTATAATATACAGTCCCTAATTGATCCCCCAATAATTATTGATTGTTCATTTAGTCCACATCCATTGAAATTTAAGACAATGTACTTATGTTTTGTTCCCCTAATCTTAAGCCCTTGGCCGTTTAAAATGTCATTTATAGCTAATATATGTAGTACTATAACTCCTAGAGTCCAGATTGAATGTTGCATGTAATACTAGGTGTAAAGAAGTTGAGGTTATTGGAACACTTCTCCCTCAAACTTGTTAAGGATTTTCTAGCTCAGCTATGCTCGAACATAATTCAACAATCAAAAGAATATTCAAGTATATTAATTTATTATTGAGCTTTGGGTTGAGTCTAGCCTTTATTGAGCTTAGCTAATTGTCAAATTGAGCTTGACTAAGTGATTAATTAGATAACATCATGACGGAATATAAAATTTTTTATAGTTTTTTTCATAAGGGTTGACCTAATCTAATTGCTAGGATCTTTTTTAAAAATGCTGTATTTGATGAAATATTACATACAATGAAACTAAACATGCTATTAGTTTTCTTAACCTGCATGCTTTTCTATTAATATGTTTTTATAGAACGTATGAAAAAAACAAGCATTGTACAAACATAAGTTGATTCATTAAAAACGTTGCTAGCTAAATGGCTAAAGAGTATTCTATCAAGCTCACGTTTGGCTACTTGTGAACTACATACATGTTTGTCAACATAAATAATCAAGCTAGCCTATTATGACTTCTATTTTAAATCTATCGAGCTTCATAAATCGTGTTTCACGTGCTCATATAGTCTAGTAAATTAAAATAACTAAGCTATAATCAATAAATTATTGAACTATCATCAAGAACAGTTTGCATAAGCTCCTGGTCATAATGCTAGTGAATTTTTCCAACTCATGCATATAACTTAGTTTTCTTAAGTTTGTCAATCTATTATGCGACGCTCTCTACCTTTTAGGCTTGATTAAACAGATGATACTTTTCTCTTCCCCACTTTCTAGTCTTGTACTCTTTTTTTTTTTTCTGTTCAGTTTGCGGTTTAGCAGAAGGCTGATTAGAGCATGGGTTCAGAATCTTGTGTTCTTCCATTTGGGTAATCCGGAAAAATGGAGCCTCTTCACTTTTGATATTCTTTTTAATGAGAGGTTTGGTCAGAGTGGAGTCCATGGCTGCAATTTGATTTTGGATCTTAAGAAAATCACAACCCCAAACTTGTCATATGCTCAAATTTGATGTTTTCCTAATTTTTCTGATAGAATGATAGTTTTCAAGTATAATTCTGAGTCCACAACCATAAAAAAATTTCATACGGCTGTTAGTACCTTTTCCGAGTGCAAAATGAGGTTTCCAGTTTTTTTTTCCCTTAATTTTGGAGAAAATAAATCATTAGCCTACTTTATTGAAAATGTACTCTGTAATGCACTTACTTGGAATAGCTCATTGAAGTTCATTGAAGGAATAGCTCTGCAATGTACCATATAAACTGGCAACAACACAGCTGGTATAGCTTTGCCCGCCCTGCACGGAAAAATCAAGCATATTAGCCTCAGAAAAGTATAGCGTTTAACACCACTAATCAGAGAGCGGCAAAGGAAGCTGCTCTGAAGCAAAGATAAACTGGTGAAACCACTGAACCCAGAGTTGCTACATAAAAATGTGGAACCAAACTCCAGAACGAATAATCTCAACGAATTAGAATGACTAATGAATAAGACCTTGCACTATACATCATCGGAAACAGAGGACAACAACCTGTAGCCAGAAGTATGCTTAAAGAATAATTGCAAACCGTGCACATGAGGTGGAGAGATGGAAAATAGAGTTCTGCAACAACCTGTGACTATCATATCTATTGTGAATTTGTGATAAGTCAACTGGAATAACTGCTCCTGAAGAAAAGTTGTTTTTGGTCTTGATTTGTTGGGTGATAGAGTGTGCCGAGGAGACCACTTGCGAAGTTGTTGATTTTTAACTAGTGCAAAGTAGCCTGAATATGGTCTCCAAGATCTCTCCTACTCCAAGGTAAACCAATCAACTCAATGTGCTATGACTGAAGAACACTTTTTAACTTGAGCATAGAGTTTGATGCATCAAGGAGTAGCTCCTAAGCTTGGGCTCACCAGAAATAGATGTTTGGCTAAATTATTATTTGAATATTTGCTGTATATTTAAGTGATATTTATCCCTTCCTAAAAATTAGGGTCAATCTCTAATATTTATGAGGTTTAGTTGCTTTCCTTTTTATGTAATTTACTTGTATTGAAATAGTAGGTTCCACTATTCGTGCTTTAAATTTTTGATTAGTGACTTGAATTTAGGGATAAGAGTTATTTCTATGCATTATCATCCATTCCTGATAATTTTTTTTTTCAATTTAGTGGTCACTGTGTAACTTCTATAATTGCGGAATAAGGAGTGCTCTATTATTGATAGAGTTTTTGATTGAATAAATCTATTCTTCCCCCTTTTCTTTCCTATCAAAACGTACGGTGCAAGTTTGGTGCTTGCTACAGTAATATAAGTCGAAGTTCTCCCTGTCACTCTAATTCCATCCCAGCCACAGACCTTAAAGCCCTCTCCAGTCATCGGTCTATATCCAGTCGCCAGTTTTATTATTTATTTTTCTTATCTTTTAATTTGTCTGCTCAATATATGGAAGGAATTAAATTGCAATTGTTATGCTCTTCACAAAATCAGGAAGAAAATGGCGTCAATTGCTGGATAATGTGGAATCAAAAGTAACTGCTAGAAGGAATCAAAGAATAGTCAGAAAACTCCATTAGAAGGAAAATATGAGTTTTGTCTATCAAAACATTGGCCCAAGTTTGGGATTGCTCTTTCAATTTAATTAAATATTTTCGTATTAAGTCTCAAGATTGCTTGTTTTCGTCTAGGATTATGTTAACCTTCCCTAGTTTGTCTTTTTGGCCCCTTTTCTCCTAACTTTGAAGATCCATTTGGTATGAACATTCAAACTATTGTGGGCAATATCGTGATATTTTATTATTTAGAAATCTATCCCTCAACTTCATTTGGTGGTAAGTGGGAGATGCACCTTTGCTATAGTATCCAAGAACATTATGGAGATCCACATGGAAGGACTTGGACACTAATCTAGTCCAAGGAGCATTACAATTCAATTTTTGTATTAGAGCCAAAGCTTTTAAATTCTAGGCTAGAGGTGAGTGGCAAAGAATATGTAAGACCAGAAAAACCATAAGCAATTGGGATGCTACAAAAAGCTCATTACTAGTCAACATGCAAGGGTAAATCAATTTTTTAGCATCGGCTAATACTAAAAGGTTAAAATTTCATTAGTGTTCCTCGACTATTCAAGTGTGGCTAGTTTTGTCTCTAAGTGTCATATTTCTCTAATTTCTTCCCTTATTACACAAAATTGATCCCAAATGGTCTCTTATGGATTAAATTGAGATCAATTTTTTATAGTTGAGTCACTAAATTGCGATCAATTTGTGTCTCAATTTCTATCTTAGGGACAATTTGAGATCAATTTTGTTTAGCCAATGGACTATATTGGAGAAATGTGATACTCTAAGGCTAAATTGATTGCATACGGATGGTTGAGGACTATTTTGGACTTTTTCTCAATACTTGAATTTCAAAAGATGAAGAAGCATTGGAAACTATAGATAGAGCAAATGACTAAAATATTGGTAACAATAAATAACATGTATGGGTGAGATTCTTCCACAAGTCATGCTAGGAACCCTCGATTACGTGAGGATATTGATGATAAAGGAGAAGGTCCTCTCAAAAGTGAAGCTGCTTCCAATTATAGACACCCCACCTCCTTAATTTTAAAGTGGATACCAAGTTAGAATTGCCTACTTCGATGACATGGTGGATGCTAATAATGTCGACAATTGGTGAATTTCTTAGACATTTTTCTTTTATAATTATATAGAGGATATCCTTTACCCCATTCAAGATGTCATTGCGCACACTAATGTGATGGAAAATAGAATTCATATCAATAATACAAAATAGCATGCGCCATGGCTCTTGGTGTCATGCAGCGCAACTCTTGTAGCTTTTGATGGAACATAAAATCCTTGATTTTTTATAATTTAGGGTCCAAAATAAATATTTGTATTGTTTATTATATATTTATCAATTTTATTTTATTCAAATGAAAATTTATTAGAGTATTTGGGCATCAAATACTCCCAAAGGTTGAAGTTCTCGCATCTTTGTCT